ATATTAGAAATCAACAAAAATATTTATTTATCTTTTTTTTTTTATGAAAAACTATCATGAATCTTGAAAAAAAAATTATGTTAAAATAAAGTATCACTTTGCAAAAATAAAACACATCTTTTATGAAGGAACGTCATACAAAAATGTATGCAGTTTACACTCGCAAAAAAAAATTTCCCAAGAAAAAACTCATCTTAGTACCTATAAATAAATTTCTAAATAATCTAGTAATTTTCACGCTATTTATACCCATTATAATTTTTTCATTTGTAGACTTTTAGGCGGACATTATTTTGTGAAATTCATAAAATACTAGTCAATTTAATAAAAGGTGTATCATAAATTGTTCTTGTGGCACAATGTCACTACAAATATTGAAAATCCATATTCGTGGTTTACTATTATAATCGTTGAAAATGTAAATCAAAAAATTCGTAGCAATTTAAAATATATTTAACTAAACTTCACCCAGAACCGTTTTTCGTTAGTTATGATTTATTGTTGCATATAGATATAAATTAATTGCTCAGTATTGTATTACTCATATTACCCACATTACTCATCAGTGGTATAAAGTTTTTTTTTTGTTTTTTTTTTTTTTTTATAGTAATATAATAAATAATAGTTGCACGTGTTTAGTAGGAAATCTAATTATCAACCAAACGTTCAGTGTGTTGACACCATAGTTGTATGTATTTACCATTGACAATGATAAATGATAACTTTTTCGACACAGAATTTATTTACTCATACATTATTTTGTCGGCCATCCGTGACTACCCAATCGACATGAGGCTGACCACTGCTCGAATGATCGAAAATGTCCCTGTATATTATTATTATAGGCTATAATTTATGGGCGCACAGTTTCTCTGATTTTCGTTTTATATTCTAATGTGATATATAAATTCGGAGTCATCTCCTTATTGACGTGATCTTAACGCAAATCGAAATTTCAGTCACATACCGTATTCTAACTTTCGCGTTTTCCCGTCGCATCGTGATATATTGTAATAATATTTCGGTAGGTACCTACCTACAGCGCCAAGAAAGTCTATTATAAGTTTTAACAGCGGTTTACATTTGACATTTCTCCCGTATAATATCTTTAATGATATTTCTATACGTTTCATAAAAATAATAATGCATAAAGTTTTTTCATTATTAAGTTATAGATAGTATAAATTATGTAAATTGAACTAACCAGTTAAAAGTAGTCATAGCAAATAATATGTGGAACGTATTTTCACAAAATGTAATATCGTTGCATCTTCATGGTAAAACCACGTACCTAACTCGAAGTTTTCTTTTTTTTGTTCTTTGATGATTCCATGCTTTGAATTTTAACGCATATTTTAAAAGTTTTTAACATAAAATAGTTTATTGTTTTTCTTATGATAATGGAGTATTTCAAATACACCTATCCATAAATAATAAAACAAAAATACATATTTCGATAATAATGAAATATCACAAATGCACCTTTTTAGAATTTATTAAACGAAAACACTTAACTCGATTATCAATATTTTCTTCCTCCTAGAAAATTTCGAAAAATCGACTTACGTGGTTCCGCCATAGAAACGACAGTAATGTAATTTGTCTTTTCGCCGACTGTTTTAAACTATTGTAATATCGCTCCGAAATCACACAAAATGTTACAAATGTTTTCCTAAAGACATATCTATAAGATAATTAATCTATATTATCTATTAATCATATATCTATATTATATTCAACATAGATATATGAACTAAAACTAGATATAATAATACATTTGCTGATTTAGGAACATTATTAAAGTATTATAATGGAAGTACTAAAACTATAACAATTTTAAAAATAAAAAGCCATTACACGAGTAGGTGTGATGACATTGATTGAATGCTTAAAACTGTAGTAAACTAATAAAATATTGTGAAATCTGAATAAAAAAAAATAAAAAAATACAGTATAGACCTTATTTTTCGTCACGTGATTTCATCAAAAAATAAAAGAATATATATATATAATTTATCTAAAAAAAATACGAAGATAAATTAGTTTTTCCATCAAACTTCACATATAATATATTTTAAAATGATGTGTTACACATCATCCAAAAAAAAAAATGAAAACTCGGGACCTAAAACATTATACCTATGTCATATACGTGTGGATTAATTTTATTTGAAATTGTTTTTCTTTGTCGACCTTTTATCAACTGCCTGCAAGCATAATATGCATACGAAATTTTTACATGATCGATACCTTGGCGTATCCTATTAAAACGAATAAACAAAAAAGAAATATTATTTTCTGAAAAAAATAATGTTAAAACGATACCCGAGAATATTTCTAGTCATGTTAGACGTCATAATATTTATGATATATTAGCCGGATGTCACAAAAATAATAATATATGTTTGATACACAATGTTTTTATATACCCTGTAGGTATATTTTTTTAATCATTATATAACTATATACGTATATTGTATTGCATTGGTTCTGGAATTGAGATTTTTTTTTTCTGTACAAACACGTTTACAAAAAAAAAAAAAAAACCATTCTAAAAGAAACATTAAATAAATACACTAAAACAAAATTAAAAAAAAATATAAGACAGTATCGAAATACCATTCAGCTACAAATAAGAGTTTTAAAGAAAACTAGAATCATTAAGAAAAATAAACCGAGTACCCGCCGACAAAAAACTAAATCAATTAATTTTAATTAAACATCACTGAGACTGAAATTTTAATGATTACAATTAGTTTGGGAAATAGATATATACTATTTACTCATTACTTACTTATGCTGTACATAAACAGCAACTGTAAAGCCCAATTATTGTGTATAGCATGGCGCAACAAAGAATCTTTTGTCGGTTTTTCGATACCCTTCAAAATCAATTTAATTGAAATATACATAATTTTATACGTTTCTGTATCATAAATATACTAAAATATACTAGGTTGTTCTAAAAGACCTTAACTACGAAATTCAAAATGTACCCATTTTTATGAGTGTTAAGAAAAATTAATTTTGTGAAAGTGTTGACTTAATAAACGCTTGATTGAAAAAAAAAAAATTGGAATCAAAAAAATATCGGTTTAAAATAGATAGTGTACTTAAGTGCAAGATTTAACGATCGTCTCCAAGTGTGGGTCAGGTTTGATAATCAAACTATCATATACATCGGTTTTAGATTCTGAGTGGAGTGAAGAACTTATGGTTTTACAATGATGTTAATTTTTTTTTTTTTTAACTGTGAACAACTTTTATATCAGCAAATTTTTAGCCAATTTGCAATTATAGTATTTTTTCTAAAAGGAAATCTGATTGGAGAGGTATTTTAGGAAATCCCTTTGATTTTCCAAATAAATGTAAAAAAAATCGGGGAAAAAACACGGGAGAACGGGAAAATAAGTACAATATTAAACAAATATTATTAAAAAAAATGTTCAATGCATGTGTAATTATTTTACCATAATATGACATATTATGTATTGTTGATAAAGCAATACTATATCAACCGAACTCCGAATCGTTTTTTCGTAAATGGTTAATCGTTGCCAACAGGTGTACATTAAATTCCCGTTTATATCCTACCTTTCCAACTTCTTACCTACAACAGTGGCTACATCCGTCTACACTATCCTAATACAGCTTTATTATACTATATCATCACTCTATCACAGTCACAGTCTAGAATACTATATTAAAAATGGTCACCACCTTGGTTCAATTACTTTTCATCGTAAAAAATATTTCATATCAGTACATAAAAATAGAGCATAATTAAATAAAGTATAACTTTGTCTTGGTATCTCTACATTTTAGTAATGTTTCTTGCGTGAAACATGTTATAAAACTTTTTTAAAATAAATTATTCTCTTAAACTAATATCACCATGGAATAGTATTGTATGGTTCTCGGGAATAAATGTTTATACAACTACTACTTTAAATAATCAAGCGATGACCATTTTATGAAAAATAAATATGTAAAAAAAAAATGCTAATAGTGTAGATGTGTTTAATTATAAGAGAAAAGTTAGAAAGGAACATATACAGAGTAATTTAATTTATATCGGTAAAAAACGAAAAACCATTACTAAAAAAAAAAAAAAAAGCGATTCTGAACAAAGTACTATTAGTCGTATTTTTCGAGGTAACCAAGAATTCATTAATAGTTGAACAAATTAAAAAATTACCTATTCAAATACACAAGGTAATTAGAAAAAAAAATTGTATAAGAAAGTATTCCTATATAATTTTTGATTGAAGCACGGTTGCTAGTAGACAAGTTGTTTACAGATACAAAACGAACAAATCATTGTAAAATCAATATGTTATTTACTTCTCACAAAATTTGAAATATGTACTAGTTGGTAAAAAATATACATTTTTCTAAAATATTAATACGTTAATTGCTAAAAGTCTAGACGTCTAGTCATTGAACACCTACATATTCACGAGAATTTAACAATGGTGTTTTCAAACATTTATATTAATTTTTTTTTATTTTGTTACTGTTATCGAAATTATTATTTGATATAATATTTTTCAATTAACTACATTGAATGGATACTAAAAATAGCTACTGAAAATAAAAATGAACGTAATTTTTCAATTTTCAACAACAATAAATCTGACACAAATGCAGTGTCTGCGTGTAGGTACTCGAATGAAAACGTTGTTTCAAAATGTTGCCCTACAGTTAACTAGGTAGGTACCTACTATAATTAATGATCTAAATCTGATATTTTCGGGATACAGCATCGCATAACAATAGAAAATAGAGATGATTAAATTTCATATTAATTAATATAATATAATATTAGTAGTATTAGGTTATAACGGTATGTAGTATGTACAGTTAATGAAATCTTGATAACGCATTTCTTGTTAAAATATGCTATGCTATTATATACTGGATTCGACAATATCAGCTATTGTTTCGTACATATATATAACCGTCTCATTCGAGAAGGGGTAATTTAATTAAACGTTTAGTTAAACGTTTAGGAGCTGCTTCAAATTGTCAGAAGTGATCATCGAATGTCAAAAAGTTATCTCGGCACAAACATCACACACATCAAAACATACCCGATCATCGTTTTCAGATTTAATACAATGCAATAGTCCCCTTGTTAACATCCTTCCCTACCACACAGTAATCGTATCGTTGGCAGAGTGTTGGGCCCTGACCCTTTGCCTGTGAAGTCTGCGCACGCGTATGAATATAAACAGTTTTTTTTTTTTTTTTTTTTAATATTGGACAAAATTTTGCACCCTATACTGTACATAATGTATAAAACAAAACTGCTATCGAAATAATACTCAAAATAGATTTGAAACAGCCAAAATAAAATATGTATCTATGGACGAATCACCATACAAAACAGTGACACGCTTGAGTGCTCATCTTAGAGAGGGTAGACTATATGATTCATACAAGCACGTCACACATATATTATATAATATTATGTACAGAGTGTCCCATGAATATATACCCATTGCAGTATATCAAACAATTTTGGTGCAGCATTTTTGTAGTGGTGGTTTGGATAGTGATCCACTACTCTCTCCCCCCACACTCGACTAAACATAAAAGTAGAATAACTCGTGAATGGCTTGATGGAAATCAAGAATGTCAACATCAAAAACTATTTTAGTTAATACTCAACCAATTTCAGGAATATCCAATATAAATTTCCATTTGAAAATCAAAATTAGGTAGTTGTTTGACCCCCCAATTATAAGAATGGACAAAATGATGACGTGGAATTTTTTAACTATTTGTTTCGCATATTTTCCGAAAACAAAAATTCCGAAAAAAGTAAGTACTTTTCGAGATATTAAAATGGGTATGTCTCCGTGGGTCACTCTGTATATAAATAATGTACCTGAGGATCAGATGTCTGGATCTCCCAAACCCAGAATCGAAAAAAAAAATTAAATATTAAATTAAATAAATGTATAAATAACAAGTTTATATATAAAAATAAAATTAATTAATTAATGAATGCGTCGCTTGGAGTAATGAGTTATATCTTGTTTGATTTTGATTTTGAAATTGTATATAATTTATAACACATTCACATTGTATTGTTTTTTAATTTATTGAAAGTTTAATGTTTGAAATGTATTTAATTTATTACCTTTATTTAATAAATTGTTTTCAGCTTTATTGAAAATTATGGAAGTTAAATTAATAACTCGTAGTTGAATTTAATAATAAATTATATTCGTAAAAAGATGGGTTAGTTATGGGCGACCCTTTAAATGGTCTTTTACTGAAATTCACATGAAAAATTATGAAACCAATAATATTATTAACAACAAAATATACAGACCATATATAAAAGCACATTATAGATATGTTGATGACACGTTTATTTTTTTTAGAGGTTCGAATAGACAAGCAGAACATTTAATTAACTACTTAAACAAAATAAAAAAAAACATTCAATTTACATTCGAAATACAAATAAATAATTAATTTAATTTCTTAGATCTTACAGTTTCCATAATAAACAGTAAATTTGATTTCATTATTTCCAGGAAACGTACACAAACTGATGCTATAATACCACATGATTCTAATCATCCTTATTATCAAAAAATATAATTTCTTAATTCAATATTCTATGGGCTTGAACGTATTTCATTAAATAAACATAATTATCTACACGAGTGCAATATTATCTATAATATAGCCCATAGATATTATTTCAACTTGAATACTATTGAAAAAATGCAAAAACGTATTAAAGAAAAAATAATACACAACTCACCAAATAATTTTATTAACTATTGTAATATGAAATATCAAAATAATATGTCCAACAATTTTGCTAAAATTCTGAACGATAGTACAAATAATGTAAAAATCGCTTTTAAAACTAATAATAATTTAACCAAACATATAAACAATATAACTAAAAACTTCATAATCCTCTTTCTTTTGAAAATGCTGGTATATATAAACTTAAATGGAATTGTAATAAATTACATATAGGTACGACAAAAATAATTTTTAAAATAAGATGTGAAGAACACATTTCGGAAATAAAATTTAAAAAGACTGTCTTTTATTTAAATTTCGCTAATCATGTTTTAGAAAATAACCATAATATAAGTTTTGATAATAATACAGACATAAAAAAATATTAAATACCTAAAATAAAATTTACATTAATTCAGTTTTATGTGTAATTACACATACACAATGAAATAAAGAAAAATAATTTTAATAATATTTTAAATGTTCAAATTGTATATCAACTCATTTAAGATCTTAAATATTTAATTTTATAATAAATAATAGCCAAATAATTTATATTTCTTAACATATCTATGTCAAATAATATTAAGTTTAAATAATCTCTCCTAATAAAAATTAATTATTTCTATATTCTATATAAAACGAATTTTTTATATTCAGTCTCGTTTTACATTTTGACTGTGATATACCTGTTGATAAATTTTCAATTTGAAACCGGTAGTATAATACACTTTTCATAATACTCCATAATACTATTAAAAACTTAAAACGCACCAAAATATTTTCGAAATTGTACCACGTCCTGAATGTACAGATAGAGGTCTTTTGAGGAAATGTTAGGTAAGTAGAAATATTTTTCACTGAATCGCAACAAAAAAAAAAAAAATCGATTTTGATTAGAAACCATTGTTCTTAAAAAAATCTTGTGTCTTCAGTTTCCCCTGTTATTGAGAAAAGTAAAACGAAATATTTAAAAATATACCAACTAGACAACATTTTCTACCAAAAACCCCCCTTAGTGTTTATAATTGGCACAAGATTTTTAGTTGATTATTAGTTAAGTTATTATTCATCTTTCTATTCATTTATTTTTATTATTAAGTTATCTTTCTAAAAGCTTTCGGAGGACACTATTGCCCCTATCTTCCAACCACTCAAAGACGCTATTGATCCAAAAACTTGATTGAAATTTTATAAGTTCGACATAAACTACGAAAAAAAATAAAGGAAAACCGTCAAAATTAAGTGATTAAAATAAAAAGTAATTTTTGTCAATCCTAAAGGATAAAAAAATTAAGTGTAAGGGGAACTCAAACAGCACAAAAATAATAATAAACCTACAATACCGTGGTCTGTGAGATTATATATATACAATCGATTTTTCAATATACTATAATGGATTAGTTTTCCATTACTTATTTAAACAAAATACAAAAATGAAACACCTGCAATATGTCCCGTACTTTCCGTAACGAATTTTTAATCCAGTGATAGAGAAAAATAAATCTTTATTCTCATAACACTATATATATATATATTTATAATAGTTCCTTTGAGTGTGTTTGACATCACGGTAAAAGTTTATGTGTCAACATTTTGCGAAAGTGGTATTTTTGGCGTATTAAGAAATATTCTTTGGAACAGTGTTTTCATAAAATTGCAATTTCACCTTGTCACGTGCGTCACCTCTCATGCGTCACTAATACACTTTGTTCTCCTTTACGCCAAAGTTTTAAGTTTTAGTAAAGATTCCATACAATTTTCGAAGTTTTTTGAGTGTAGGAGTCTCGTCAAACAATAATGCTATTGTAATATTATTATATTCAAGTTAAAAATACAACAAAAACAAGGTAAGATATGAGAACAGATGCAGCCACTGTTGTAGATAGGAAATTGGGAAGGTAGGATACAGACGGGAATTAAAAATATATCTGTAAGCATCGATAATTAATTACTATCAAAAAAACGATTCTAAGCGAAGTTCAGTTGATAGGGGTGCTTTGTCAATAATATTTATGTCATATTATGGTCAAATAATTAAATAGACATTATATATTTTCTTTAATAATATTTGTTTAATACTGTACCAATTTTCGTTTTTCTCATGTTTTTTCACGGTTTTTCACATTTGCTAGGAAAACTCTTGGGAAAATCAAAAAATGACCTTCCTAAAGTACTAATCTAAGAAAATTTCCTTTCGGTCTACATCATATACATCGGAGTAAGCTTTCTGGTAGAAAAATTGGTCATATAAAAAAAAAAAAAAACAAACATCTTTATAAAATCAATGAATTCTTTGCTCCATTTAAAATCTAAAATTATACCAACAATTGTTTTTTTTGTTCTTTTTTTTAGCATCCAAAATCTAACTATTAACATGATAAAAAAAAATGAGTATATAAAGTTTATCAATTTGTTCTTAATGATCAGGCGTAATTTCATAATTTTATTTTTTATACGCGTTCAACGATAAAATTAAATAATGCCCATGTATTGCAAATTATTTTTTAGCTAAACGTTGATTTTAAATTTAGCAAAAAATCTTTAGTAACCTAGTTCCTTTCTGAGTAGGATTATTATTATTATTTTTTACTTTGGTCTTCTTCCCGTTTGTCTAGTAAAGCTTATCTGTACTTATATGCGGGGAAAGGACAATTATGGCATACTACTATACCATCAGTGCCAAGTAAGAATTATTAGAATTTTTTATTAATGGACTTGGTCTATTTGACTACAGAAAACATAAAAAAAATGCGATGTGATAGACTATTGATCATTGATAACCCATTGATCAACCCATACACAAAACAGAGTTTTGGAAAATTTACACCGGCCATGACTCAAGAGTCAATACCTAATAAAGACGTATTTATTTCTTTTCTTCAACCGTGCAATCTGTTCAGATGAAAATAAAATATTTTGTTTTATTACTAGACTTCTCGTGATTGTTTAATGTAATTATTGATTTTTCTAATGGAATTATATAAGCTTGCGTTCACAGCACATATTTTCTTCACAGCCATTTTAAACGTTTAAATGTACTCTACTATGTGTGCATTGATAATTGATTCAATCATACGCATTTGTATTATTGTTTAGTGTGTTCACAAAGCACAGAATGTTTGCCTTTTGTGTTTGTTTTGCCCTGCACATTTATGTCTACGGAAAATCGTTTTTGTCCGCAAAAATAACAACGCCTTTAAATTTATAAATGTTATTTGCAGTAAATATCGAAGCTGGAAATGTCTCATCGTTATTACACAACAACACAAACTACAAAGTTTGAGTATATTGATAATTGCTTTAAAATTCTATAAAAACAAACTACAATTAAATAATACATTTTGTTTCGGTAACGCATTTATTATAATATTATGGTCTATCGAGTTTTTTTTGTTTATACAAAACCTCGTTATAGGTCCATTTTATTTT